TGGGTAATTGCAGCAGTTTTCACCCTTTTTGGGGTAAAATTAACCCAGGAAATTTTTCAATGCATAACCAAACGAGATACAACTGTATTTGACTTTTGCAAAAATGCGCGTCTAGTCACTCAAAGATAGTGGTGAATGCATGTTCCCAAAATAGGCCTATGCGTTGTACTTGAGTGTTTAGTGCCGGATAGTAACAAAAATGTGAGGGCTAATTTCTTGGCAGAGCTTAAGTTTTCACTGTAGTTCGGTCACTAAATTGATCAGGCTGTTACTACCAGTTCAGAAGAAGGCATTAGGCGAAGTAAAAAAAAAACATGTTTCTCGTCCGGGGTTTTTGAAAAAAGGGAGGAAGCGGGGCCTTTTATTTTTTATTTTTTTCAAGATGGCCGCCATTTTAAAATTTCCTGCAACCGTTGGTGTTCCACTGTTCAAAGACACTTTTAAAAATGAAAGACAAGTTGGACAAGAGAACTGAACATATTTACAGTGTCATTTAGAGTTGTATTGGTATTTATTTTCCGATGAATTTGTGGACTTTTTCGGTGTTTTTTTTACTACATTTTTCAAAAATAAAAAATAATAAAAAAATCCAGGCGGACTCCAAAAAGGAAGCGGGCGGGGACGAGAAACATGGTTTTTTTTTTACTTCGTCTTACAGATTATTAATTTCGCTGACTTTAACTCACATACAAATCCCTTCTTTAGAAGACATGGGTCCCTCATGACCAATCTACCTGTAATACTTTCCCGTCTTCATTTAAAAGTATCATTACCCACAATCGTGACATTCATTCTCACTTTACTCGTCAAGCCTCCAATTTTCATATGCGTTATACTAGTACTTCTCTTGCAACACAGTCAAATATATATGAGGGACCCAAGCTTTGGAATTCGCCAAATGATCAACCACAAACTTCTAAAAATCTGTCTGTATTTTAAACGCATATTTAACTCCACTTTGTTGGAATCCTATTTCTAAATTGATGTTTCAATTTGTTTATATACCTGTACATTGCGGACCTGTTGTAGTCGTAGTTGTATCAGTCATAATTTGTTTGTTCCCGTCCGTTGTAAGTTTAAGAGTATTTCGTGTATAATTTTCATGATGCATGTGCATTGAGACTGGTCATTCATATTCTGGTGTACGGGCCCGATTTCGAGTACTGGCCCTATAATTGTTTTCTTCCAAAACTAAACAAATCAAATAAAAATATATAAGCACACGCATGCTCAGGTGCCCATTTCTTACAAGCTTTGCCTCTTTATGGGCCTCTCCACAGTATCTTCGACTTTATTCAAAATGTTCTTTTGCTATTCTCTAAAATTCACATTGTCATTGTCACTTATATTTTTTGGTACTGGGGAAATAAACTGAACTGAACTGTCATATTCGTTTCTTTTTCACGGCAAGAATCCACATTTCCCTCTTGAACCTAATGGAAATAATGTTCACTTTTATAAATTCTAGCTAGCAAAAATGTTGGAACAGTTTAAATCAAAGTTTAAAATTTTGCTTCCAGATTGAGGACTTTAGTGTACCCCTATACCCGATCTTCAGCAGAAAGAAATTGGAAGTAAACCGGTGTACACGAACATTACCCGAACATTTTCGATTAAAATACAATTAAGAGCACATCCATAACAAGGTGGCCAGAGTCACTGTCCAGAGATGCTTTCGATGTGCGCACGCACACCGCGCATGCGCATAGTAAGTACCCGCCTCAGCGTCACAAAGGCCGCTCATCATGCGCGTGTGTATAAAAGCAAGTTGCAAACCTCTTCAAACATTATTGCGTCCTGAGAGCTCATTCGTTCAACATGGTCAAAAGATTGTCACCGAGCGCCAGAGAGCGCATCACTTCTCTGCATTCCTCCGGGGCTAGCCAGAAAGATATCATGCAGGCCCTCAGTGAGGATGGCCTCACCGTCAGCTGGCGTAACTTGCGTCTATTCCTGAAGCAATTCAAGCTAGCGGGGTCGTCGTCGGTCGAGAATCCAAGAACGGGAGGCCGTGCCAAGTTTCCGCCGTGGTTGAGGCAGATGATCCACGAGCTATACCTGGACGACAACGGGCTGACAACCAACAAGGTTCGGGAGATCTTAGACAAGATCTTCGGACTGGATGTCTCCGAGTCGTACGTCAGTCGCATCCGACAGAAGTGTGGGTGGAAGCGTCGCCCTTTCCGATTCATCAAGGTCAAGACGGAGCAGACCGGCAATCCAGCCGAGATCGAGAGTGAAGATCGTCCTACAGGCTCCTGAATCGTCTGCAACCCAAGACGAAACAAACCAACCGGTCCTTTTAAGGACCACCACATTTTCCAAAGAGAGATTGATCCAGCATGGTCAAAAGTTTAAATTGAAAAAAAAATTAAAATTGATATGAAAGATAAATGCACTTTTATATCATTTTTCATTCCCGTCAGCATTTCTAATTTATTGATTGTATCAATTATTTAGTCATTACTTTTGCCAATTTAACAAGTAGGCCTGTCAATAAAGCAAGGCGGTTGTTTCCGCAACTATCAAAAGGCATAAACGTCCAACGTTTGCAGGTACATGTATAGGGATTAGTATAAAATGAACGGGGGGTGGGAAGAGTGGGGATCAAACCAATTAAGGCCCAGTCCAATTTCCACATCAGTCCATACATTAAAAAACCCATAATTCAGAGTACATGTAAACAGTGGCGTAGCCACCGGGGGGGCGACCCCCCCCCCCCATTACCCCCCCCCCCCCACCTGAGATTTTGAGTTTCTAAAAAAATTATCATTGATCTAAATCTAAATAGTCGCGAATGATCCACATGATGACCACTGAGAAACGACCCTTCGACCGGCGACCGCGGACCAGTAAGCTGACAACCGGCATTGCCTCAGATAGCACCACAGAGCATTAAGAATCCAAAATTTTAGCAGAATCCAAAACCCCACGCCTATAGCTCTGAATTCTGGTAGCTGATTCAATGACTCCAACCTCGAAAACAATGTTCACAAAATTTTCTTATGCCTTTAGCTGAGAAAACCTCGAAAATTATGTTTAAATTATTATCTTTTGTGCTAAGATAATTATTGGTTAAAGTGGTAAAAAAATTGCCTCAGATCACACCACAGAGCATCGAGAATCCAATTTTTTTCGGGGCCCTTAAGCGGGCCCCGAACCCCACGCCTATAGCTCAGAATACCGATAGCTGATTCAATGACTCCAACCTCGAAAACGATGTTCAAATAATTATCTTATGCTAAGAAAATATTAGTTAAAGCATGGAGGAAAGTGGTAAGAAATTGCTTCAGATCACACCACAGAACATCTAGAATCCAATTTTTTTTCCGGGGCCCTTAAGCTTAAGCGGGCATTCTTCGTTGTAAAAATGCGAAAGGTCCAGCACGATCCAGACTTGCATCAAAACTCAGTGATGAGCATCTTGAAGTTTTTCATCGATACATTGGTAACTTCTTATTCTTATACGAAACCACCGGATTCGTTGTCCAGCTCCGTCTTCGTCTCCAACCTAAGAATCGTGCTACGTTCACAAAAATTATTGGCCTCTTTTTGATAGAATTTGGTGTCACTTATAGCATGGAGAAAGGAAAACAGATAGCGTAAGATGGACCGATATTGTACAGGAATGTGTCAAGTCACAGGGAGAAAAGTCTTTAAGATTGAGCCTATAGTCGATATGATCGATGTAGACGAAGCCAAGAAATCGTCCCCTCCCACCTCCCCCCCCCCTCTCAACGTGTGCCCCAAAAGTTGTTTTCCAAAACATGAAAGGGCCTTTCGTTATGCCAAGCGGCTTTTTTGAATTCGGTACTAGTTTGAAGCATGTTTGGAGGCAGTGATGAGGCCTTGGCTTTCTGATCCGTATTCAGCGAAGGATTATCACTTAGATCACTTCCTATTTGAAATCGGTAACTTTGATTTTGGCGATCATTGTGGTTTATCCATGGAGCTAAGCGGTAGTGGGGAAGGGGCGTCTTCAACTTAACATGGGCTTTGTTTACTTGGTACCACACTTTCTGAATGGTTGTCCTGCAATTCATTATAGCCGTACCATTCACCGTGTTCAATGGGTTCCTTTGAATTCGGTACTTCGTGGAGTCAGTGACACCTTATTAGTGGCGAAGCTGGGGGGAGGGGGTGCAGCGTGGCAGATTGCATCGCGATAGAGATTTTTAAAGCAAAATCGGGACGCTGGTAGAAGCGAAATCGGGACGGTGAAAATGGCTCAATTAAACGGGACGAAAGTTTTATTTTGCAAGGGGCGAACAAAAATCCCGGCTACGCGCCTGTTGGCTTCCCTCCACCAAAAATGATCTGGATTCCCCAATGGATTATACTCAGGTCATCCCTGTTGGAAATCGGTAACTTTGATTTTCGTAACAAGGGGCGCATGTTCAACTTTGTGCGGGCTTTGTATACTGCGTGCTTCACGATCGTGCACAGGCGTCTTTGAAATCCGTGCTTTGGAATACCAGTCGGTGAGGCCTATAGGCTTTCCTTGCACCAAATAAGTCTATTGATTGCAAAGGATTACCACCTTCGGATTACATAGCAATGCTTAGATCACTTTTTTCCCAAGAAGTTTGAGGTAACCACCTGTGGCAATAAATCCCTTTTGTGAATTGTAAGGTTCTGAGAAGAAAAGAAAAACATACGCGATTCCAACTGGCGTTCCAGAGTGGCGTCGATACAAAATTATCAAAAAATTTGAATTTGAACGAAACATCAAAGTTCTGTTTGAAGCGGGACCGACTTGACTACATCGACAGTTGTTGGAACAACTTGAGGTCTAGTCAATAGGGGAAAAACTTTGACAGTAAATAAAGTTTGCCAGTCTGAATCCAAACTCAATTTGGATCTAAGATTCTGGAGCGCCAGTCTCTCAACTCTCAAGAGAAAATTACTGCCACATAAATCATGCCATAGCCGTGATTGTTACATTTATCTATCAATTTCTTTGCCACATTAAGAATCCACCCAGAATAAAACAAAACAGGTACATCATACAATGTCAATGCATATGTGCAATTTATTGCATATGTGCATTTGAGACATCTGGTTATGTGAAATGGTTCAAGGCTTTGCAAATGAAAGTGAAAACTACATGTACTGAATTGAGGATGTATTTCATAGCCCTGGGATGTATTTCATAGCCTTAGTTCCATCAGTTTCAGTCCTATATCAATATATACACTTATGTACATGATGTATGGGTAACATTATAAGTTATCCTGAGAGCGCGAGTGGAACACGGAATAATGTAGTGCGTATATGGGACACAGACGCACAACATTTTCCGTGTTCCACAAGCGCGAGCGTGATAACGAATTTATCTTCAAGCAAACTTGACGCGCAGTAAAGTTGTACCATCGCTTTACACGAACCTTTTAGTGGTTTAGCGCAGGCAGCTGGAATGTCGCTTGCATCTTGGAATAGCGCAATACGCAGGGTTCGATATGGACCGTGCAATACAGCCTCATATCACACTGTTGTTGCCATGGATCGTCCAATCAGGATTGACGATTCAAGTTTACTTGAAGATAAAATATTATAACACCCAACCCGTAGATTCTGTATCTTGATTGGCAGAGAGAGAGCCACATGGTATTCGCTATTTTTGCTATGTGCACAGCAACAAAAGTACACTGTACATACACAGCAACCAAAGTACTATACGCCTACCACATGTACAATGTATATGCATAGTAACCAGTACTGTGTGCAAGTGCATACGGGTGACCCGGTTGCGCGTGTTCCCAAGCGCTAATCCAACAGAGCACGGGTTCAAACATTCTGTGAAAGGGTGATGTGGAAAGGCTCAAGTGAATTTTTAACTACTTTCGTGTTGAAATAGAAGTACATTTGAATTGTATTTAGATTAACTTAATCTGTTATCCCTTAAAATCAAGCAGAATCTGTGGGCGAGGTGTTGTAAAACAAATATCGACTGCTTAACTAATGGAAGTAAAACTTGCCTCCTTCGGTGATCCATGGAGCATTCTATTTTCTCTCGGCTTTGCCTCGGGAAAAACAAATACTCCATGGATCACTTCAGAGGGATAGCTATACTTTACCACTCGAAGCAGTCAATTCAGTCGAAGACCTTTATAACAAGGTCCTTGAGGCTTTACAAATTATTTTGTTATAACAGGTACCTTGTATTATCAGTAATGGAAAAAAAAAGCCAAACACAGATTTGGGGCCTAACATTTTCCTTGTTATAAGCAGGATGTTGTATTAACAGTGCTCTTCTTGCAGGGTTCGACTGTAATATTTTGTGAACTATGGTATTGTATGCTGGCTGATAAGGGGATAAATAAGGGCTTATTTGGCATGTTCATGCTGTTGAAATTCATTTCTCCTGGTTAAGAAATATAAATGTAACATGAAGAATGAAGTGAGGTGCATACTCTGCTGCTATTCTTTTCAACACAAAGTTTGATCATACTTCCATTATCATCTGCCTTAATACAAGTTCATGTACATGTATATGATGAAAGTTGTAAGTCTTTTTTTTTAAGGAGTTGACTGCAGTTGACGGCAACACATACATGTAGTTGGCCGCTTGTGAGCCCATGCTTACAAAACTATTAAAACTGTACTGCCCTCAATGTGCATATCTGTCATCCGCATACAATCCTTGACGCTTCCATAACAGCATTCCTTGACAACTGACCGGCTAGCACTTACAGCCTTGGTTGGTCCCAAATGTAGGCATGTAGGAATATACATGAAGATCGATCATGCAGTTGGTCTCCTTATAAGATGTTTCTTGCCGAAGACACTCCAACCAGATGGTACACTGGACCAGCATGACATGGCATGTATTTGGTGGCCCCGGTTGGTATCACAATTTAGGTGCTCCAAAGGCATCAGGCATCCGCTCAATAGTGTATCTGTGAAGGATAGGGTGAAATTCATATCAGAGGAGTTATTGACTAATTCCTTTGAAGTATCACATTGTATTGTCAGTACCATTTAAGACTTCTGACCCTGAAACAAAACTGGGGAATTTTAAGGGTGCAACAGTTGTTCAAGGAGTAAGAAAGTGTGCATTACATGTATTTTAGAGTCAATGGAGTGAAATCTCTCCCCATTCCCCCCTTTTTTTTTGGGGGGGGGGGGGGGAATGGAGGCAACTATTACAAAGCGTGGGCTGCCCTTAACTATTCTTGGACCAAGCCTACTTTTATCTAGGGTCCGAAGAGAAAGGAATATATTTCCATTCAACTGATTGTGAGAGTGTTTTAATAAAAATGTCTCAGGTTGATGTCCTAGAAGGAACTACTTATTTTAGATCTCATAGACTGGTGTTCCAGAGTTACACCAAATCAAATCATTCACACGATTTGAAATTAGAAATTTGAAAAAGTTTACAATTGATACAGTTAACCCTTACTCTCTGAGGGTAGTTTACTGCATGTCATTTGGTTATGCCAATGCCCTCCAGCTGCAGTTTATTGGAGGATACTTCTATGTAGCAGTGAAGGCTCCAATTGGCAGGAGTTGGAGGCCCTGGAGGGTGCCTGATACTGACCAGCTGGGGGCACTCACTTTGTTATCAGAGGACTCTCATTGTTCTCTGTGGCATGTATTGGAATGCCTGTCCAGTTACCCTTGAAATGACATGGCAGATATTGGAGGGCCATGCAAAAAACATAGGAGATTTTCTTGAGGCACATATTGGCATGCATTGGAGGGTCAAGTAGGGTAAGGGTTAAAATCAACTATGTCAAAAGATCGACTGTTGCAGTGGTATTCCATAGATTAGTCAGTAAAAATGTATGCATAGAGTTCATCTGTCTGAAAATGTGAGAGGCGTTCTGGCAAAAAGGAGACAGAACTGGACCCAGCCCGTAGTGGAAAAAAATGAAGAAAAACAACCCTATATGGGAGTGATTTTCTTTTTTTATTTTTCAGATTTATTGATATTTTTGATCTTTGATATGTCTACTACATGTACATGTATATTAAAGAAATAGTTAACAAATCGTGGAATAAAGGTGTTGTTAGTAGGAAAAACAATTAGCATATTTCATATTTTTCTCAACTACAAAACTTGAATCTTCACAGGCCCTTTTCTCAGTAATTTACTTTCTTGACATGTCGATAAACAGCCAGAATCAGCAATAAACAGCCAACTGATATACAGCCATAACTTGTCAACTGACTTTCCAATTGAAGTGCAACAAACAGTATTGTAAGGAGAATTTTACTCTCTTTCCTATTACATGTACCTGCAAATCCTCATTTGGACCTCTGCCAAGTTCTGTCTCATTTTGCCAGAATATATATAATCTATTTGGGTCAATCAAAGTTGCTCGTGTAACTGTTTAGTCCGGCCCAGCTTTTGAACGCCAGTCTGAAGCGGGTGGTAAACCTTTCAGAAAAGTAACTGATACTGCAAGGTTTGGACGTTACTGCACCCACCTTTTCTGTGAGAGGAACATGATGGGCACTCCTGGGATTTTTCGTATTCTCCTCTTGAGATCTCGGTCACAGGTCGCAACAATGTAACACTTGTGCTGTAAAACAACAAAAAGACGATGAATAATAAAACTGGGTCTGTGTGAAACATGTCTATAACATTCTGCTAAAAAAAAAAAAAAAAACAGTACTGAGAATTGCAGCTGTGGAGTTGTTGTTCTGAAAATTTGCAATTAAGAATGTCTTCACACTGTGATTCTTTTCACATTTTCATTATTTGTAAATTGCCATAGAATGTTGACATTTAATCTGTAAAATGCTGTCATCCTGACATAAAGTATAAGGATCGCATCAACTCAAAATGCTTCTTCAGAACTCCATAGATGAGTGTTTTTGTAACCCCAAAAGGAGAGTCTATTTTCCACTGACTGAGTCACTGACTGACTGACCAACTGAATCACCGAGTAAAAAGAATGTCTTTAACTGAGATCTATGGGTCAAGCTTTACTGGGAAAACCTAGTCTTAATTTTTGTTTTTAGCATACCTGTGTTACTCTCTGTACAAGGCAGTCATCGGCATACGTCCCCTGATGCAAACAGGGTAATCGTTCAAATCTCTCATCTTTCACCGTCCGCAGAGCGACGTTGTATTTCCTGCCTAGTTTCTCAATCTCAGCCATCACACAGTCTGTTATGCATGGGATACCTGCAACGGACACAAGTATAAAAACTGTATGAAAATCCAGGCGAAAGATGATGCACAACCATATAATGTATATCACAATGTTCTTGAAAATGATCCAGAATGGGTTCCATGCGCCAACCAAAGAGGGCGCCCTTTTACCTAGCAATGACGTCCCATGGGTGGGACATTTAGCTGGTTGACGAGAACCGTTCCTTGTGTATGACGCATGTACACCAGGGGATTTGTACTATGTACACGCAGTGGTACGGCCGCGCGTCACGGCAAAATTGCAGTCAGGCAAGATGGCTTCGATCGGTCATCCCCAACTGTACTTTCTTTGCCGGTGAGGGGGTACTTGTGAACGGAGCGGATAGGGGCAGAATGTGGCAGAATGCAGGTGTGTAATCTATTTGCAAACAAAATGCGGACAAACTGGTAAATTGGGGGCAGTATTTGAAAAAAAAGCGCCAGTTTTTTCCAACTCTGGTCAGCCGACCAGCGTTGGAAATTGATACAAAAATACAGGCTTTTCTTGAAAATGACAGCACACCACGTGCCATGATTTTACAGGTTGCTTTCGACTGTCATTCACTAACAGTCCAGTAAGGTACTTCACAATAATTTGGTAGTTGTGTTTTTTGATGTTGGCAAATGTTGTATATTCCCTTTAAGTAGGTGTATACCTCTGAAAACACTGTGCACACAGGGTGTTACAACTGATAATGTCACCAAACGGATAATGTCACATAAATTAACCGATACTGTATCACTAACTGATAATGTAACACAAAATTGACCGATAGTGTAGTAAAATGTACTACACTATCAGTCAATTGTTGTTACATTATCAGTTCTAACCGATAACGTAACAAAAATTGACTGATAGTGTAGTAACATTTACTACAGTATCCGTCATTTTTTGTTACATTATCTGTTAGTGATACAATATCGGTCAATTTGTGTGACATTATCGGTTAGTGATACGTTATCAGTTAGTTACCGGTACTACATAATCAGTTGTAACACAGGGCTAATAACGTTGGGAAGGCTTGGTGCTTTGATCGCTACACAATGTGCAAGCGGGTCACTCCACTAGGTCAATAGTTTGCAGCAGTGACTTTTTAAATTATCAAATCAGATAGACTGATCATATCAAATAGATTTCGTATAAGAATCAGTAATGAACCAGTTTAGTATTTGGACTGCGTGTGTACATACATGTACGTATGTTTATCAATATTTGAATATTTTCCTTAAGGGATAAAGATTTTGCCGTATGCTTGCAAAATCATTACTGATGCCAACAAATTGCAAAAAAGTTCTTGCTGTGAAGTAGTGCCCTCAGTTTTTAAAGAGGGTGCTGTATATCCTCCATATACTTGTGTGCATTATCTGGTGCCTTTATAAGCAAAAATTGTGAAATCGTGCACATGCGCAATTTGACAACCAGACTGGCTCACTGCAATACTATGAATTCATAAATACCTCAGACAGTTTAGCTATTTCTATTGGTCGAGAGCCCGTCACGTGGCCGGTATTAAACGGATGATAAAGACATGGCTAGCTGGGCTTAAACACTTTTCCAGTGTCACAATAAAATGTGGACTCCTAAAAATCCAGTGCCTCTTATCGTTTCATTGGTTGAATGTTCACAATCCTCACGTAGGCATGCGCAAAACTACCAGGGAGTCAGAATTTTATAGTTCTAAATTCAAAACGCAACGCGCCAGGTGCATTCTGCGCGACATCGCGCAGAACATGATATGCGCGCGTCAATCTCCATCAAAGGGTTGTTTACATCTTACTCGCCAGCTGAACACTCCATTATTTTGCAAGAGGGATGTTTCAAAAAGCATAAAGTGAATTTGTTGAACAAAATCGGGATGTTTTGGACGAATTATATGATTTTTTTTTACCGAAAAGGTATTTATGAATGGGAATAAATATGTGCTCCGTCGGTATTTATCACTCTGTTTAAGACCACTAGAGTCTGGGTGCTGATAATTACCCTCGCCTCCGGCTCGGGTAATTATCAGCACCCAGACTCTAAGTGGTCTTAAACAGAGTGATAAAAACCTCCGGAGCACACATTTATTCCCTTATTAAAAAACTAAAATCATCACTTGCATTTTGCATAGAGGCAGTCCATCATTCCCTGGACCAGGTCAATTTTGTTCTTGATGGAGAAATTGACAAAGTTGGTATCCACCAGCACGTAGTACGGCGGTCCCAACTGTGTGTTGTACTTGAAGAAGAGCGCCGAGGAGTACTGGGGGACCTCCCGTTCCTTGATCTTTGCCTCTTTATCTTGCTTCCATTTGGGCGGTGCTTTCTTCTTCTGTCTGTCCTTGTCCTGTCTGGAGATTGTTAGAAGAGAGAAGAGGTTACTCTAGTGGTGTGATATATATTCAGATTTTAAGACAAGATAAGTTTGGGGTAGCACCATGTGAAAAAAACTATTTTGTGAGTATGTGTGGTTCTTCACATGGCGCTACCGTAAACTCATATTGTCTTAGTATCTTTCCACCATGCAAACCTTCAAATTTCAAATTCAGATTTGTTAAAATTTGGTTTGAATTGCACTATTTGGTTTCAATTTTAGAAACTGGATATTCGAAACCAACCTTTAATAAAATTATGCCTTCCATTTTTTGTGACACAAGCTAAAGAAAACACCTGGAACATCCCCCAATTTGCTCCATGGTCTGTGATTGTAACAACATTCACTTGCTAGTGGTCTTCTTGGTATATGAATAGCCTACTTATTTGACTTATCAGAGAGTTCCCACCCATTTGTTCATTATTACACAGCTCTGGAGTGTTTTTGTCAAGGCCCAGTGGACATTGAATCTTGCAAACTGTACCCAGTCATTAGGAGGGCATTACGGCACCTCGCTCATCACTTTTTGTGGGCTGAACATGAACTTCTGTGAAATCAGATAACCGATATCCAGTTTGAAGAAAATTAGGATAACCGGGTTTTTAAATCTTCAATTTCTCCCACCAGTAGGTTACTGCCTATGCATTTTTTGTATGCCAGTAACCTTCCTTTACCCTCAAAGAGTATATACATGTACCTCTAATGCTAGTTCATTTAGTTATGAGTTTTTGCAGGATATTTAACTCCCCATGTGAATGGTTAGACCCCACCCCCATTTTTAAGTTAGTATACAATATGAGACAATGAGGCTGTGGGTGTGTTTACTGTTGGCCAGGTCACTTTTGAGAAATTCTCGCCAATATTTCTTTCAACATATATACCCTGTTTACAAGCAGGTTGGCTAATTATAAGCTAATTATAAGAGGGATGCCCCTGTTTCACTAAATTATACCAAAGCGACTTCAATTTAAATTTTGCGGATAACTTTATAACACATTTCACTCACTCAGGAAATTACAAAGGAGCATTTACGTGTAGACCCCAGTCACTGGCTCCCACAAATCCAGTCATAGTTTAATCACTAGTCAATTCAAAAGTTCAGTCACACATAAATAGCCATGTTAACACTGGCTGACATGGCTGAACAATAACAAAGGAATGCCTTCGCAGTAGTTCATTGAAAAAGTTAGTGACTTGTACTTGTGAATACAAGAACTTGTGATAGATTTGTTAGGACTTGTGATGGATTCAACAAACAACACAAGCAGATACTTACATTCTGGCATCACGCAAAGATATCATTCGTTTCATGGCAGCATATTTCTTGGTTCTTTTGTCCTTCCCCTGAAATACATGAACATAAAACACATGATCATTTAAAAACAAGAGAAGAATATAATAATTTAAGAGGCTAATCATCTTTTAATACACGAGCTGATATGCTGAATTGCGAAGGACGCGGCCACAACGTGGTCGGGCCGCTGGCACGTAAAGGCGCCTATGGCTGCCAGCCACATCGACCCATATATGACCACGGAGCACAGCCCGAGATCGAAAGTGTTTGATTTTTCCGGAGGGAGGAAAACCGGTGGGCCCGGAGAAAAACCCTTGTGGCACAGGAGAGAACCAACGCACAACTCTTCTCACATCTGATCCGCGGCAAGGATTCGAACCATGGTCACCTTGGTGAGAGGCGAGCGCTTTAAGCACAAGCCACCCATGCCAGCCCTAAAAGTGTGCTAGAATGCTATGAAGGTGATGATAATTTACATTTGTGTTGTTCACACAAGCATGGATGATCTTGTAGAATGGTCTTTGGAATAATTAAATACAATAAAACCAATGATAGCAAAATAATTTTGCACATGCTATTTTAATTAAGTGAAATAATTTTGATATTCCATTCACGTACATAATACATAAACTTCAAAGAAAATGTCAAATTCATTTTCCCTTTTTAAAATATCCTCTAGCAGTACCTTGAGTTGAGTGTTGGATACCTGGAGGAGCAGAGGCCCAGACCACAAGTAGATTGTGTGAGGAATTATTAAGACATGGAAGCATGTCATGGATGAGTGATTGGGACAGATGTGCATAATTATTGTTGGGCTTATGAAGGCGCCAATTCTATAGTCCCATTCTGTGAGGAAGCACGAACATTTTATATTAGACACAGAATAGGGCTAAAAAGGGCGCTAAACTTTGCACCCACAACTTGCCTTCATGCCTACACTCAGCCTGGTGCTCCTAGGAGCTAGGCTAAGGAAGGACGGTTATACAAGCATGACAAGTGATAGGGAGTCCAGCGTTTTTCGTTTATGTTGAGAAACTTGTCAAAAATTGGCTATCAACGGAACGAGACTTGCAAGACAGATTTAATGGCATTAACCCTCCGACGCAGAAAGCACATTTACTAACACGCTTACAGTAAGGGGTCCCTCCGGGGACCCAGATATTTAGCGCCTTGGTTCGAGGCTACACAACACAGTATCTATATGTATACAATCTCGACATGTCTGTAGACTATAAATAAGGAGGTCATTGACAGGAAACAGATGTTGTATACATAGTCTGTGGTCAAGTCGTGCACTTGGCTACCCGCAAGTGACTTTGTTTTGTGCACGTGTATATGGGCAGCCCAGGTTGTCAGGCTCAGATATGCCTGACCCGGGGTCACACACTAAAGGTGACTGCATATATCCGTAGTGGGTGTCTCTGGCTAGGATTAGATGGAAGATCACCAGAATTGGTTGGAAATTTTTTTTTTAATTAAGGTAATTAACCAAATTGGGTCCCCAAAAGGGCTAGTTTCTGCGTCGGAGGGTTAAAAGTAGCTCCGTAGTGCAGCCCTTGTGTTTCGGAGTTTAATATGCCACTTTAATGAGGTGAATTTTGGGTGTCGGTGTCTGTAAGAGTGGCGGCCGAGTGTGCCAAACATGCTGACATCGTTTTCAACAGCATTGTGTTAAGCGAGGTCCAATCTGTCTACGTACAAATGTACTATTGCGTACCACCATTTGTTGACATTTTATTCCGAGAAATATTTCAGTAATACTTGTGAATTAAAATCTAGATCTAGACAATGATAGACTTCTTTTTCTTTTGTTATACGATAACTTATTTCATGTTTTGGAAGATTCAAAATTCTAATGTAATTATCATCATTTGAAGACTGCTACTTTTGCGGGGTTACAGATATAGGCCTAGGTGTTTTCATTGGACTCCCAGTGATGATAGGGAGTCCGGCGTTTTTCGTTTTTTGGAGAAACTTGTCGCAAATTAGCTATCAACAGAACGAGATTTGCAAGACAAATTTAATGGCATTAAAATTAGCTCCAAAGCCTAGGCTCTTGTGTATAAATAACCCTCCCAAGTGCCAATGTCCACCCCCCTCCCGTTTCACTCCCGTTTTTAGCCGGCTGTTACGGCAGGCTGTGTGATCGCATCGCGGTGTGGGCCTAGACATGGCTCGGACATGTCGGACAATCGTGCGTTGTTTAATGAGGGAAAAAAAAAAATCATAACTTTTTTTGTAATGAGAGATAAAAAGATGATTCAGAAATCAAACTACTGTTTATTTAATAAGGATTCCTATGATATTAAACACTTTGATAAGTTTGGAGTTTTGTGGGGAAATTTAGAGGTGTTAAAATAATATTTTGACACAAAAAAATACAGGTTTGTTTTCATTGAATTTTGCCATTTAAATTGTTGTATCTCCGAAACGCAAGCTCGTATGAAAATGATTTAACTGTTGTTGATTTTGTCGTGTGATTCTCTTTCCAGTGATACCAAATTTTCTAGGGTTCTAAAATAAAATTCAAAAAGTGCTCAACTCCCTAACACAAACCTTCCTCACCCGACCCTGGCCAGCACAGTGACCGTTTTAGCCCATTTTCCGCTAACTTTGACAGATTTTTTGTATTGTTAAAAAAATGAGTTTGACAGAATAGATTTTTTTTGACAGATTTCTATCAGAATTATTTCAGCAAGAATGGTTATTTGACAGAAAAACATAGCAAATTTGAAAAAAAGGTACAAGTCACTTGTTTAAAAAAGCTTCAATCTTTTCAAACAAACCCTTGCAAAATAGGACAGGTTGCCTTGTCTATGTGCTGAGGTTCACTGGGAACCGGATTTTGTCGTGATGCAACCTCATATTGACTGACATTTACGCAATTTCATATAACACCATTAATCCATTATATGAGTGACTATATGAGTGACTATGAGTGACTATTTAGATTGTTTAAATGTAATCTTAACCTTAATTTAGGCAATATTACAACATCTGCCATGTCTGCATGTGATTTTAAGTGTTTTTTTTATGGTAGTGTATATTTTGCCGGAGGTAACGCCGGCAAACTAACGTTTACTAAAGCTTTGCCGGCTGCAATCCATATCAACAGAGGGCGCTGTACTCTTTAAGATAGGGCTGAATTATAATATGTATTAAATTCCCACCAAAGTTGTGTAGCACAGTCGGTGCAGTGGTTAAGCAATAGCCCTAAGTGAGTGGGATGTCCCGAGTTCGAATCCTGACCCCCGCCACAATTTTAAGGTTTTTTTTTTTTCCCCCAAATAAATAAGAATATTCTTCTTTTATTATTTTAATATGTCTTAAACATTTTATTGCAGAGTAGGCCTATTACTTTTTCTTTTTCAGATTTGTGGCTCTGGAGGATTTTTTTTAAAGGGAAATAAAGTCCGAAATTATAAAATGGTCTGATTCCCATCTTGTTAATACAAAAATACAACAATAATATTGGCATGGAGCCAGACTAAAATTTGTCACCGGAAAAATGTTTTAACAATTTAAGTACAAAAAAACAGTAACTGCGCATGTTCAGTGCATATCCGGCAAACTAACGTTTACTGAAGGTTTGCCGTCTCCGGCAAAATATCCACTGCCTTTTTTTATAGTGTATTTCGAGTAATTCATGGAAATTTGGCAGATTTTGACAAATTTGACAGAATTTTTGAAGTGCATTTGGCAGAATTTGGCCATGACCTTACGGTCACCCTGCTGGCCAGCCACCGCTACAAAAAAATCACCGCACTTCGCGCACGTGGACATGGTGGATTGGTGGTTGGGCCTTGGGGTTCAGTATTCAGACTTTCAGTAACTAAAATTAGCTGTTCGTTTGGTGATTGTTCGATTGTATTGTTCGTCATGTTTGTTTGTTCTTTCGAAGTCGATTTTTTAGTTTCACCATGTTTACTAATGTAATCCACTGATTATGTTTTAGAAAACAATTTTCCACCTAGTAAGTTCTTACCATCTTCGATGTCCCCTCGATGTCTGATGCTACGTTTATTGACAGCGAATATGCATGATCATTTCCTGGACTCAGTAAGGCAGTTTTGTACAACTAATAATCATATAATAGAGGTACCTGACTATTTAACATATTTCCTTTTTTTTCGGTACCATAAAGTATCGATACTAACACAATATAATTTCGAAAAGACATAAAAATCATAATATCTTTCTTGAAAATGAAACAATGATCATTTTAACAAATTCTAGATTCAAAGGGAAATTATTGGGCACAGTATACAACACTATTTGTAGTACGGTTATTTTGTAAAATGGGACAATATTGCAATGTTCAAGCCCTAAACAGTTAGGTTCGATCTACAATAAAACGCATCGAAAGTGAGAAATCGAGAACGAAGAATCGATACCACAATCTAGATAAACATTAAAAATCATCGACAATTTTTTTATCTGGCACGGCGGGGACGTACATGGCATAATTCACTTAAAAATTGCAGGTTTGTGCTCTGTATGTGTTGTACTGATATTGATTATGAATTAATGAAGAGTTATGGACTCAAAACCTGATTGAAATGGCGAAGCTGAGTTTATTTATAAAGAAAGCGTGATGCCTGAAAAAATGACCAGCGTAGCCGTGGCGTGACGGCTTGCATGGCTTGTGCGCACACCACGTACCGTGTGTGAAGGGTTTCGATCCAACTCGGACCCAAACCAACTCGGACCCAAGCCAACTCGGACCCATGCCAACTCGGACCCACTACCAACTCGGACCCATGCCAACTCGGACCCACTACCAACTCGGACCCACGACCAACTCGGACCCACTACCAACTCGGACCTACAACCAACTCGGACCCACTACCAACTCGGACCCATGCATGACCAACTCGGACCCATCGTTTTCAATCATTCGACATCGTTTTCAATCATTCATTTCATAAAGTTTGTCCACTTCTCATCTGTTATTACAGTGATGCTGTTTAGTATACATTTTCATTGTAATTGTAAGGTAAATTATCTCATATCTGTATTGCAGCAGTATAACATTTTTGTTAAGCTAAGCACGTTTAGTTTTATGACGTTCAAAACGATAAGCGTTTAAGCAACAGTATTACTGTACACATCATAAAATAGCGCTCCACACAGCTGCAATACAAGAAAACAACAAAACTAAAAGCCCCATTCTGCCCAATATAATTACAGAATATCTTCACTATATAAGCACTAACATTAAGATCACCTATAAATATAATCTCTGAAACTAATGATTGAGTCATTGCTGGGTCCGAGTTGGTCGTGCTTGGGTCCGAGTTGGTAGTGGGTCCGAGTTGGTGGTGGGTCCGAGTTGGTCGCAGGTCCGAGTTGGTCGTGGGTCCGAGTTGGTAGTGGGTCCGAGTTGGTAGTGGGTCCGAGTTGGTGTGGGTCCGAGTTGGCATGGGTCCGAGTTGGCATGGGTCCGACTTGGTTTGGGTCCGAGTTGACCTGATACCGTGTGAAGCTAAGCTGAATCAGTGGAATACAGGTCAACTCGTACGCGAACCAACTCGTACGCGACCAACTCGTACGCGGGTCAATTCGTACGCGAACCGACTCGTACGCGGACCAACTCGTATGCGGACCGACTCGTACGCGGACCAACTCGTACGCGGACCAACTCGTACGCGTGAGGTTAGACGATTGGTTTAGCTCACATGGACAGATGAAATTAGGTTCGGTACGGTAGGTCGGCATAATTTTACCTTTTCTGAAAGGTTGAGATTTTCAAATTAAATGTAGTTGATTTTTGAATCCGCCAGTGCTACTTACATTCGCGATTTTTTAGAGAAGAATTCTGCGTTTGTTTGTTTTTTTACAAGTTCGCTCGATTGATTGGGAAGTTGTCTTCGCGATAACCAGTATGATTGGTTCCCGCCGCACCGCGCACTGTATAAAGAATGCATGATTGAATCGCTGTAACCTGTGTATGCCGCGGTACAACTGCTGGTTGGTTAGACAAGTAAAATGACAAGAAAACACCGATATTTGCGAGGTCTATTGTATAAAAAGGAGCTACTATAAAAAAAGGAATATAGCATCACGCATGCTTATACAATTCCTTCCTCCATGGTTGTACGGACAGTGTCCGCCAGTTTTTTGCTTGGGTCAGATAGTTTTTTAGTCCTAATTATTATATATCCAAATAATATTTTGTAAAAAAAGAAAAAATGGGGAGTTGATTTTTATTTTTTGTTAAAATCAGAATTTTATATAATTTCACCGGAAATGCGAGGTTTCTTGGGTCAAATGCGATTTTCTTGGGTCAGAAAATTAATTTTTTGCTTGGGTCCGATAATTTTTTTAGTCCTAATTATTATGTCTCCAAATTATATTTTGTAAAATAAAACAATCAGTTACTTTATTATCATCATTCACGGGTTCACTCCCAATCACACACAACGGTCACACATTGACTCCGGACTACCCGTCACACTATTCCCAAATTCTTCCCAACCATGCCAACCCAATCCTCGAAACCACTCCTAAAACGGCCCGCGTACGAGTTGGTTCGCGTACGAGTTGGTTCGCGTACGAGTTGGTTCGCGTACGAGTTGGCTCGCGTACGAGTTGGCTCGCGTACGAGTTGGTTCGCGTACGAGTTGTCTCGCATACGAGTTGACCAATCCGCGTACGAGTTGACTCGCGTACGAGTTGGTTCACGTACGAGTTGACCTGTTTCCAATCAGTGAATGCCACCCCCACGCGTTGACCATGCATGGTCAGATGGTTGGCAATGTGGTTCAGCAGTACAGTACGGTCCTACTAAAGCGCGTCAACAAGCGTCAACAAGTTTTAGTAGTCGTTAAGTGCGCGTCAACAAATTTTGTATAGGCTTTTGAACAATAAAAACAGCTTTATATGGTAGAAAAAGCAATAATGAACATCTTCTGCATATCAATTAAAGTTAAAATTACTTAAAAAGTGGTTTTCCAGCACGAAATCTACGACAGGTTTTTCGGTTTAGTATTGGCCGCCATCTTGTTTGAGATTTACATACTACGCATGCGTGGAGTGTACCATTCACGCATAGGGGTTTCTTTATACGTTACGCTTAGCGAAACCTCGTTTGGTTTTTGCATTGGGATTTTTTGGCAGACATTGTGAACAGTGTCAGTCGGCATATTTTTCAAATAATTAGCCAGGTACCGTGACCAAGTTTTGCATAATTTATAATTGAAAAAAAAAATAGTTTTCCTAATTCCTAAGCGTAACGTATAAAGAAACCCCTATGCGTGAATGGTACACTCCACGCATGCGTAGTATGTAGATCTTAAACAAGATGGCGGCCAATACTAAACCGAAAAACCCGTCGTAGATTTCGCGCTGGAAAACCACTTTTTAAGTAATTTTAACTTTAATTGATATGCAGAAGATGTTCATTATTGCTTTTTCTACCATATAAAGCTGTTTTTATTGTTCAAAGGCCTATACAAAATTTGTTGACGCGCACTTAACGACTACTAAAACTTGTTGACGCTTGTTGACGCTTGTTAACGCTTGTTGACGCTTGTTGACGCGCTTTAGTAGGACCCGTACAGTATGTGGGCGGTGTTCAGTGCAGTGATAGAGCGCTGACATCTCCAAATGTTTTTTTAAAAAAAGGCGATTCGTAGAGTCCTACTCGTCCTAGTTACTCGGACTAGGCTAGACCTACTCCTAGAACTATGATGCTCCACGCGGAGCATCATAGTTCTAGGAGTAGGCTACACCTACTGCTAACCATAGAGCAAGGTCATACGACAGACCACATCCCAAATGTCAAAAAAGGAGTTCTAGTGCCCCAGTTAGTGGGTCTAGGGCTAGGCCTCATTTCACTGATTTAGGAAAGCTTCAAAGAACAATGTGAAGAATGTTGCAACCTGACGCCTCTTGTTGTTTTTTTATCATATAATCTCAATAAAAGTAAAACTTTAAAAGTCAGTCATTGCAAAAATGTTGAAAGACGTGAATGTGGGACTGAGAAACATACATTTCAGATTTTATTGCGTCTGGATACATTCTTTCCCTGAGTAATAAGCCTTATCGCAAATACTGCTCTAATGAATTTGCACAATACCTAGAGCACTGTGGGAAGGAAGGAGGGGCAATATCTGTGCCTTTTCTCTTCCCATAGATGTCATTCATTGTGTATGAGTGTTGTGCAAATTCATTCTAACGGTATTGGCTTATCATGCTTATACTATAGCCTGACTTTTCAATCCCAGCCTGGTGGTACGCTTCTGGGAATATTGACTAGTACTTAGGAAAATTAATGTGTAAAAAGTTAGACCCCATAACATAAAATATTACTAGTTTATCATATAAATTAGGCCCTATTATTGAATAATAAATATTGATTGGGGGGGGGGGGGTCAGACTGAATGCAGTAATCAGGTAGTTTAGGACACCTCAATTTTTTACAAGTTCTGTTCACAAATCAACTTAAGCTACATGTAGCTGATGATCAACATGGTATCTTACTAATTCTTAGCGAATTTGGGACTCTCAATACTGTGTATGTGTCAGAAATGTGATTGTTGTTTTACACATTATGTACATACCGGTATAACATGTATAATGGAATATAATTAACTGAAATTTTTAAAAGACCTCTTGTATCGAGATGCCATTGATGAAGACAGGTTTTGTGACTTAAATCAAAGATGCCTTCTCATGCATAACACAGAGAAATAAAGACTTGCCCCCATTGAGGGCGCCCTATGCAAGGGCTCTGTTGGTATTGAAAAACATATAAATTCATGCCTGTGAACTACATGTACACGTTATGTACACTGTCGTGTAAATCATGTCCTCTGTGTTTTCTATTTAGAAATGGCAAGCAAGACCAATTGGTGGCCTTGCTGTGTGAGTGTCATACTCCTTGCCGTGGTCTTGGGATTAGCGGCTGTCCATTGGCAAAAACAAAGTGAATTTAACACCTTCATTGAAGAACATGGCTTGATGCAGCACGGATCTGTATTCTCCAATGCCGGTAGGTATATGTACATCATCTATAGACCTACTTTAAAGCAACAGTCCATCATTTGCAGCCATCCGAAAAAGTAACTGGCGTATTATTGTTGAAAAACATACTTGGTTGAAAGATAGTACATGTAAGTGGACTAAACTCCCTGTGAAATTAATCTTTCTGGCAAGCTATCATTTTGAAGTAATCAACGAAAGAAGGCCTTTCCAACAGTGCGTCTTAAGATGCACCGTAGGAAAATTTAAATTAGTAGTTCGTTTTGTTATTCGGCGCAGCCCGCGCAAGCATTGGCACGACGCACAGGCGCGTGCGGTTGCTATAATTCGTCGGAACAGTGCGCGACATCGCATATAGCTGCAATTCAAAACATGATTCAGAAACTTTTGATTTGAAATTGAGATCCTAGCACATGTAGAATGCTGTTTTTCTCGGAATATTTTCTAGCAGAAAATCGGAAATTGCGTTAACGACCAAACCAAATTTGCAAATTTCTACTAGCAGAAAATTGGAAATTGCATTCATGAAGAAAACCAAATTTCGGAATTTAAACTAGCAGAAAAAAAAATGGTATGACCATTTGATACCCAACAAAATTGGAATCATTGGCATGTGTTTCCGTTTTCCGGAACTCCTGTGTCGGAAGTAGGGTGTACATGTAGAATGAATCATAACTTCATGTATAACTGATGCTGCTTTGTGCGTCTGTGGGCTGGTCGATTGATTGTGATAATAGGTGTACCAACATTATGGTTCTGTGTTACTATGGCGTTCTTTGATGAACGTCTTCAATGCAATAGAGATGTGTTTGATGATCTTTGTCAATGTTAAAAAAAAACACCAAAATTCTGCTGATGAGGGTTTCTTACCCAAAATCAGTTATGGAGTAGCCCAAAAAATCTAATCCCATTTCCCGCTAACAAATGCCACCTTGCATGCGCGGATCTGGGGGGAAGGGGGGAGGGTGGAGGGAGGGTATCCCCCCAGCTCTGCCAAAAAAACATTTTCATAGAAATTCATTAAATATAATGCGGAACCCCCCCCCCCCCCTGCTCTGACAACCACCCCCCCCCCCCCCAAAATTAAACTGGTAATAGTTCCGCCTTCATAATCAGCGGGTTTGAACAGTGCCCCATTGAAAGTATGGTACGAGCCCCCCTCCCCCCTCCCCCTTGGCCAAGTGTCCGGACAAGAAACCTGTCTACATTTCAGTAATGATTTGCTGACAAACCCGTCCCCTCCACCCCTGCCTTGATTGAATTTAAATAGTAAAACAAAATTGAAATTTGGTTTATGGTATCAAAAGTTCAGTTTTCTGCTAGTGGAAATTCGGAAATTTGGTTTGGTCGTAAATGCAATTTCCGATTTTCTGCTCATAGAAATTCGAAAATTTGGTTTGTACACTTTTTGACCGCCTGTGTACAAGAAACTATAAAATCCAAATATTTGATAATTAATAGCTATAAGCAAAACAGTGTGAAGTAAATTTGTATAGACTGGACGCATGGCCGTTGTAGACCAATGAAATTATAGTATCGAGGACACGGTGTAACAAGAAGACGGTTATTATCTTATTTACTCTTTAACATTAGGTCTTATCATCATTAAAATGTGTAATTGCTTGCTGATAATACAATTATTTTCCCCTGCACAATGCAAGTCATCTATGGCGTCACAGATCTGACAGATTGGACTGTAGGCCTACTGCATTCTTTTTAAAAGTTCTTCCGCAAATTGATCTTTGAACTAATCAGTCAATCTTCATAATTATTGCCAGTGTTGTATCGGGGGGGGGGGGGGGGGGGGGGCAGTGCCTCACTACAGCTACTTCTTAATACCCAACCTATAACAACCCCCTCCAAACAAACAAACAAACAAAATATGGGGCCACAAAAACTCCAAATATGACTGGTTATTGGCCTTTGCCTGATATTGACACTAAGGGAACTAGATTCATCTACACTTTATACTTTTTTTTTAAGAGATGCTTAGGCCTACTCAAAAGCAGCTTCCGAATTTGAATTCATTGTATTATAAATCCTGGCAATGAGTCAGATATGCATACACAGTTGCATTGCATGCCTCTGGCAAAACAAATGGGGCCGTGGCAGTATGGCACACTTGACACATAGAGAATTGGTACATAATAATGTATTGCATAATTCAAAGCAAAGACCATAGTTGGCATGATTGGGGATTTTTACTTTGTCTTTGTTACTTTATTTTACTGGTGCATTAACACATTTGTTGTTAGTTCACATTTGATTCCCAAACAAAAAAGGCAGATAGTGTACAAATATGTTGACAATGCATACGTAATCTGATTGATAGAAACGTGATTGATTATTATTTTTTTTTTTGAATAGTTTTGATGTTTTAATATTTTTTTCAAAAAGTTGGTTTGAACTTTAAGTGACTCCTACAAGTTTATTTCACGAGAGAAAAATAATCCCCATTCCTGCAATTACAATGTATGCAGAACACATATAAATTATGCGTACAGGTATGAATTATAAATGCAGCTTTGACAGCATGTCAAGCATATATTCTTAGCACTATCTGATTATGCAATAGGTATACATGTAGTGTAATTCATGCCCTGATCTTCTCTAATTGGATACAGTCAATGACAATGTAACCTAATTACAGTGTATACATGTACATGTTGTATACTGCACAACAAATTATCAGTGCAGCCTGGCATGCCTAATACATGTATGTGGATACTCATGTTTTATGTGTGTACTGACTTGCACTTGTACACAGTACAGCATGTGCACACAAGCACATAACCATGATAACGGTGGGCCTGTACATTGACACTGGGTCTAATGTACAGCCTGTCCCCCCAAAAATGCTGCAAGCAGAAATGGGCTCTGTGTCCTTGGAATATTGAACAATGTTTCATGATGCTTAGGCCTGGGATGTTCAGCTTTCAAATGCTATTTGCTTTATCAATTTTGCTTTTGCCAAACCAGAGATATGGTCAGTTCAACACAAACACTCAAAAATCAATTTGTGCCGCTTTCTACATTGTTAGGCCTAATAATGACATGACAAGACATGGCACCTGTTCAAATCCGACTTCAATTGGGGGTCGCAATTCCAGAAGATATGTTTTTTCATGATGATTTGGAGAGTGTGTTACAAATAATGAAAAGAACATTATAATATGAACATGATGAATAACAAAAGTGTTTCCTCACCCATTCATTACTAATTGTTTTTTCTGCACGAATACATACATAATACTGGCAATACTGCTGTTTATAGTATCAACTTATGGAAAGTGGCACAAATTGAAAATTGAGTGTCTGTGTTCAACTGACCATATCTCTGGTTTGGCAAAAGCAAAATTGATGAAACAATTAGCAATAGCATTTGAAAGCTGAATATCCCAGGTTTAACATTATATTTAAGCATCATGAAACATTTTTCAGTATTCCAAGGACACAGAGCCCGTTTCTGCTTGCAACATTTTTTTTGGGGGGGGGGGGGACAGACTGAATTTGTGTACCTCTTGTGAATTGCAGGAAAAAATGGTGATCTCATTCTTAGCTTGAGATCCAACTTGTATGTTAAATACATGTATGTCCCTTGTCAGTTTGATATTACCAACGTGACAATAATGAGCACCCAATGGGACATGATTGTATAAAAAAGTGTGTATTTCAGGATTCCCTCAAACTGGGACCTGCATGAAGATACAAACATTTAAATGTAATCTTCTTGCCATGTTTTATGGGTAATACAAAATTGTGAACAGGTGAATGAGTGCAGTGGATCAGAAATACAAAATAACAAAAATATATTAAAATGAAATTTAATTGTGTTAGATTTGTGTGTGGACCTGATTATTTAATATTCAAATTACATCTCCATCACATGGTTAATAAATCTTTAATTCTAATATTCAATTTTTTTAAATTTTATTTCTTCAATGGATCATGTTCAAGTTAACATCTTCAAAGTTGAAAGATTGTAAAATTGTGTAAGCAGATGAAGATGTTGAATATTTTACTCAACTCCGATGTTGCCCTCAAATCGTTTCACATTTTCAACTGTTTTGTGTGTGTGTTTTTTTTGTACAATGTAATTGACTTTACACGTTTACATCTTCAAAATTGAGAGAGAGTTAAAGTGACGTGCTGAATCTTTAAAAAAAACACTCTACTCTGACATGTCTGATATCGTCGTCTCAGGAATGTTTCTTGTCTGAATTGACCTTTCCTGTGACAGGGATCAACTACCTGGAGCAGTTTGCCTCGCCGAGTCTGTTGGAGCACAAAGCCTTCAAGGAGATCTCCCCGGCGGAGAGAAAGGAAATCTACGGAGTCTCGGAGAAGCTGGCCTCCTCCCTGCTCCTCCTCCAGTGGCTGGAGTCACGGCAACTGCAGCATCACCATGGCGATGTTCAGATATGGCTGGATGAGCACAAACAGCAAGAGTATCACTGGTAATGCATACCATACACATCCGTTCAGAAATGATTATTTATGATGATTTTTACATGTATGACGCTTGTTTTGAAGGAGCTAATGGACAAAAACGTGTTTGCTTGAGTAAGTCTATCTTTCTTTGATTGCTGGGATTATATACAAATAAACCTGAACAGAAATTGAATGGGTGAGTTGGAGGTTAAAACATTTGATGGAAATTGTGTTTTATTACCCATTGTTGAAGTATGCTCCATACTTAAATGTATTTCATCGCGAAAGGAGCAAATATATTTCTTTGTTTTATTTTCATCGTTGTTGATAACGTTAATATAGAGGCGATAGGGCCTACACTGTGCTGTGTACATACTACATTATATTGCCTTGAATCTGATCATGTTTCTATCACACAGTCTGTGTTCATTTGCCCCTCTTGCATACACTTATTGTGGATTTGTGCACATGAATTGTGCAAACATGTTTGTGAGTTTTTCATTGATTGAATGATTTATGTGTACACAGGGTACATGTGGGTTTAGCACAGGGGACGTTTTGTTGCATCTTTTACAAAATATAAATATTTGTTTGACCTGTGGTGCATACGTGTAGCTGTGTTTGAGTCATAGCACCCTCTGCTTCGCCTCAGGTGCTATGCACCCCTCGGATGTTAAAAGCGTCATGTCCCATATCACAGCAGTCAACAATTACCGGTATTAAATATTTTCAATACGCGGTATATTGTAACGCTTTGTTTGTTTCACAGAATTTACCTATCACGTGTATTGCCCTTGACAGAATAAGACCAGTCAGGAAAACAAAATAAACCCAAAAATTGGGATTTTGCAAATGTTGTAGCTCCTTTACGATGTGTCCTGAAGTCACATTTTTCCATAAAATGTTACTTGCATGCTCTATCCGCTCCATGCGCGAACAAGAGAAGGCTTCTTTTAAAACCACTTTTGAAAGCTCCATGGATGGGACACAACACGTACATGCGAACTGGTTCGCACGCTTATAGCGCAAATACGCATGACTAATTTTATTCTAAATGTGGACAAAGCAACAGTGTCTTTGCGTGAGCATCAGGCAGCATCAGCAGTGTCTCTCCCATTGGTCTCCCCCAACTCTCCCTTTCTTACCAATGAGGGAAAAGATACTTTTAGTTATAAGGGTGTAGCTGTCCTTTTGAAAGGTGCAAAGCAAACTTAAGGAACAAGTCTTTCCTCTTTTCCTTATTCTCAAAGGAGTGTCAAGTTTGGCTATGCCGGTGTGAGACAGCTTGCCATGCTCACACAGGAAGAGACCACAACATTGGTCACATACTTGAAGACAACTGAGTTTGAAACCTACTTGCTGAGGGAAGGCATTAAGGAACTCGCAGGTGATGACAACTGGAAGAGACTGATCTTAAATCCAACCTTCTCCAGTCTACAGAAAATGAAGGAGTTTTTCATTTTTGGTAAGTAGATGCAGGCTAGGTGTTTGTAATCCGTTTATTTACAGACTAATTTGTTTTTGCATTGGCCATAACAGTAAACTGTTTTTACTTATGCTAAGAAATTTCAGAATTTCAAATCCAACATGTTATTGCTTTCAGTGCACAAATTCTGTGTTTATTTTGTACTTAACAAAAGTAAAAACAAGTTAGTGTTCTTGTAGTTTGAGACATTTAAGAATTTGAAATCCAACATGTTAGGCCGAGTAAAAAAAAAACATAGTTTCTCGTCCGGGTTTTTGAAAAATAGGAGGAATAGGGGCTTTTTATTTTTTATTTTTTATTTTTTTCAAAATGGCCGCCATTTTAAAATTTCCTGCAACCGTTGGTGTTTCCACTGTTCAGACACTTTTAAAATGAAAGACAAGTTGGACAAGAGAACTGAACATATTTACATTGTCCTTTAGAGTTGTATTGGTCTACCAAGAACAGTTTCAGATGCATTTGCTTAAACCGCCAAAAGTCGTGATTCATTTTGGATGAGTGATTTTACAGATAAAATCAAGCACCAAATGTCAACTCTCAAATCCTAAAAGACTGAGTAAACGCCAAGCTATTAAGAATGTGGGTTTGGGTTTTTTTCTTCTCATAAACATATGAAGATTGATTGCAAATATTTTAGGCAATGTTTTTATTCTATATATTAATTGGTCAGTTTATTTTTGCTGGAATGAGCTGAGTGACCGCTACTACTGTAGCTAGTGACAGAAAACATCGGCCGCGCGAGCGAATTCTTTTAACACATGCTCCAGCGTGAGCTAATCTCATACCGGTTGCATTCTGGCTTCAAAGTCAGCATTTACCGCATACAGTACGGTAGACAGATTCCGGTTGAATTTTCAAACGGCTGTAGTCTAAAACTATCAATAGACATACATGTAAATATACATAGTCTGGTTCCCTAGACCTGACAATTATTCCTGACGCTCACGTCTCAGCCTCGACTCCATGGGCGCCATAGAGTTATAATATAACTCTATGATGGGCGCGTAGATTCATCAGGAATAGTCAGAATCTTTTGGTCTGGGAACCAAGTGGGTGAGTTTTGTTGTGAACTCGCCATGCTCGCACTGTCGCAGGGGTAGCGATCACACGTCGATATTATGTGGTGTACAAAGTGACCGACAGAGTCTATACTGAAAACTTCGACTCACATATTTCGCAAGTATTTATTTTCCGATGATTTTGTGGACTTTTTCAGTGTTTTTACTGCATTTTTTCAAAAATAAAAAATAATAAAAAAATCTAGGCGGCCTCCAAAAAGAAAGCGGGCGGGGACGAGAAACTTGTTTTGTTTTAACTTTGCCTTATTGCTTTCAGTGCACAAATTCTGTGTTTATCTTGTATAAACCTGTGCACATGGTGAAAAGTCAGGCTTAAAGTCAGCAAGCTTTCATTTTAAACAAATTGGTCCACAACAAGTACATGTAAATGAACTAGGAGCATCCTGCTCCCTATTCCAATAGTATCATTCAAACCTGCTTTTAGTTGACCCTGGATCAGAGGTCATGAGAACAATGACTTGCTGGCCAATCTCTGACTCTGTATGTTGTAACCAAGTAACACCAATTCAGAATGCCATCTCAGAGTTGCTCAGTATCAAACAGTATTTAGTAGCCAACATGTGGATTGGGTATTCATTCCCTAGCTGATTCTGTGGCTTTTCCTTGGAATGTCATTCCAAGATTTTCGTCCAACCTTTTAAACCTTTTTTCCCCTAGAAAAAAAAGTTCAAAGACTTTCATAGGCGTCCTGGCCTTGAGTTTTTTTTTCCCCAAACGACATCCTAATGGGGTGTACACTACGACGTTTGGGGTGTACACTATGGCGAACCCTAGCCCGACTGCGTCTGGCCGTACAGTACTATCGCAAGCTCTGTAGTACGGCCAGCCGCCCAATGCTTCCACAGAGACTGAATTTTTTTGGCCGCTGATGTAGCGATTTTGCTACAGATTTCGATCGAGATTATCTTTTCATCCAGGACACAAATTTCCAAAGTTCAGGTTCTTAGTCGTAGAGCAACTCATACCTTTTTGAAAAAACGTTCTTTGGTCTCAATATTTTCATCCATCTGGCCAAAAGACGACTTTCAGTCATCATCTTCCACAAATATCGTCCCGAAAATGCTCCCCAATGCGATTTCAAAAAGGCGGCCGCGCTGTAATGTATGCATTATGCGAGCGCGCTTGGGCAAGATAATGAATATGCATCATAGTTTATGACGTTTGTCGGACACTCAGCGCGGCTGGCCATACGAACACGAGGTCATGAACTTAAATAATGCATATTCATTATCTTGCCCAAGCGCCTTCGCATAATGCATACATTACAACGCGGCCGCCAATTTTGGATTCTAGATGCTCTGTGGTGCAATCTGAGGCGATTCCAGGCCAGTTCCCCCGATTTTTTTAGCATTCAAAAATTACCTTTTCAACCTAAAGCAGACTTCTCTCAGATCAAATGCCACCTTTTTGTAAAATTAGGGTTTTTGTACGCGATTTTATGGGTGGTGCCGGTGCCGTGCGATCGTCATCTTTATTTTCATGTTGCGTTTTGTTTTTGTCATCGTCATTCCCCCCCCCCCCCCAATTTCCCTCTATTTATGAACTACTACCTGTATGTTCTTAATGTCGCCAACTAGTTTGGTAAGTCAAATAAATTAAAAGTGGATTTTGTTCTATTAGGGAACCGGGCCCATACACGATCGCCATTTGTAACTTTTGACAATCGGCATGATCGGAACACATGCATGTGCACGCGTGGTTTGCCCTCGAGCTCATTTGCCTCGTACAAGAACATCAATGCGTATTATATTGTGTACCGTATGGAACGCCAAAGAGGCATTTAATGTGATCATCGAATCGGTGATACACTTTTGCAATCGGTGATGCATATTCATGATCGGTGATGGACTTTCGCGATCGGTGATGGACTTTTACTGGTGATGCATATTCACGATCGGTGATGGACTTTCGCAATCGGTGATGGACTTTCACTGGTGATGCATATTCACGATCGGTGATGGACTTTCGCAATCGGTGATGGACTTTTACTGGTGATGCATATTCACGATCGGTGATGGACTTTCGCGATCGGTGATGGACTTTTACTGGTGATGCATTTTCACGATCGGTGATGAACTTTCGCGATCGGTGATGGACTTTCACTGGTGATGCATATTCACGATCGGTGATGGACTTACGCGATCGGTGATGGACTTTTACTGGTGATGCATATTCACGATCGGTGATGGACTTTCGCAATCGGTGATGGACTTTTACTGGTGATGCATATTCACGAGTGGCGATGGCCTTTCGCAATCGGTGATGGACTTTTGCGATCGGTGATGGACTTTTACTGGTGATGCATATTCACGATCGGTGATGGACTTTCGCGATCGGTGATGGACTTTCACTGGTGATGCATATTCACGAGTGGCGATGGCCTTTCGCAATCGGTGATGGACTTTTGCTGGTGATGCATATTCACGATCGGTGATGGACTTTCGCGACCGGTGATCAACTTTGCAATCGGTGATGGACTTTTGCAATCGGTGATGGACTTTTGCGACCGATGATCAACGACCCATCACCGATTGCAAAATCCATCATCGATCGCCAAAGTGCATCAGTTATTGAACGTGCATGCCGCTGTGGCTTAGGGTTTCTCGTGTTGCCCCTGACGGTGATATTTGTTTACGGTGTTTTTGTGTTTGAAAGTGTCTTTCTCATATGTGAACTGCATTTTTTTTTAAATTAATGTGCGTAAAATGTTTGTTGTTGGTGTATGCTGCTGTGGCTTTGGGCTTTGGTGCTGCCCATATTGCAACCGGTAAATGCCCAATCGATGGTATCCGGAATAAAAACAGTCCACTGTGGATGTGGCATAAACACAATGATTTGTTTTTATCCAATAAATGGTAAAAAGTTTTTTGCATCTGATGATTGATGGGTGGGCCATCTGAGACAGCATATGGCGGGGTTATTGGGGGGCCTGACCAGGCATCCAGGGGGCACAGGAATGCAATCACATCATCATCATCATCATCATATATCCATCTAATAGCCAATCTTGGTGTAGATATGTGGGGCCCTCTGGTCACTTAAGCACACTTAAGCGAGCACATGATGGACAGTACACAGAGGAACTTTCCTTGCAAATGTTTTTCCACCACCACCCCTTACATCCGCCAGTTATAGTGCTCCAAGGTTTCAAGAGACTATACAAATTACAAGGATTAAAATGTTCGCAATTTTTAGGATACAGACAGCCTGCTCCTCATATTTATGGGGCAAATGGAACCATTCAATCCCTTGTTTTTCTATTTTGTTAGGCTAATTTGATACTTGCCGTAGCGATCTCACTGTGTCACGAGGCTTTGATGCTTTCCTGACTGAATGTACATCTGTGGGAAGCTATTTTTTGTTATTCAAGTTTAATTTGCATTTGTTGTCATTTATTGCCACATATATCTCATTTTCATATAGGCCTACATGTATTTCATTTATTGTCAAGCATATTGTGTATGCCGTGGCTTTGAGTTTCTTGTGTTGCCCACTACTGGTCGGGCCTGGTGTTGCCCCTAAATTGTGTTAATACGGTTATATGTTTTATAATATGTCCGTTCTCACTTGCGAACTCCATTTTTTGTAATGTCCGTGAAATGTTTGCAGTTAGTGTACATGTACATGTATGCCGCTGTGGATTTGGGCCTTTGGTGTTGCCATATTCACATATTCACATAACCATAACAATTAACAATTCAAACGGTATATGCCATATCACAGGTATCCGGAATAAAACACTCCTCTGTGAATGTGGCATGAACAGAATGATTTGTTTTATAATAGGCCTATACCCTTCGGGAGACACTTTAGCGTCACACACTTAGAGGCAAAATATTATCGTCGCAAATAGACTCGATTGCTCGTGGTCGAATTAGTAAAAATTACCCGGCGAATCAA